AGCAGGTCAGACAGATCCAAAACCCAACGTTACTTCTTTTTTAATCTAAAAATTGGTGTGGTTTGTCGGGATATATCAAGTTCACCCGCGATCTACAGGGCGCGTGCCAAAATTATTTTTCGCTTTCTGTAAGGCACGATGTTATGGGATGTATGATTTATCAATATGTTTCGGAATTGTTTTTTTAAAGGAAATTTTCCACGTTTGAGAACATTGAGGCAGTCATCAGATATGATGAGATTAGCACACTCGTGGTGTTGGCACGCTTTTGAAGTGGATGAGATGGCTCAAACAACACAAGATGACCATTAAGTAAATGTGTTCCTCAATACATCAGCGTTTGACCGCGTCATGGAACGTTTGTGTGACGTCAGGGGGTGCCACACCGGTTGTGCGAAATTGCCACCCTAGCATGCATGTCGACTCGCTTGTAGTACTACGTTTTGCCGAGAGGTAGCAGTGGCGATCGTGGGGAGAGGATGCTGAAGCATGTATCGTTACGTGCTCGTATGTTGGTTGTTCTCGTGGTGTTCTTGAGTATTTGTCCGTGAGTTAAACATGTTTACTTGCGTAGATAAGACAGTAGTATTAGCCTTATTCCTCGCAGAAAACCAGGAGAATGGAAATATAGTTGGGTTGATATTACGGCAACATGCCCTTATCGAATCGATAGCAGAAGTGAATCCAAAATTGCCTGCCGATGATCCCGATGATCCTACTCGATTTTTCAGCCGTTTTTTTAACAGCAAGCCACAGTTTTTACAGGACACCAAAATGCAGGGGATTTCACAAAGAGCGATTGCCAGCCATTACCATGACGCAGACCCTATCTAAGAATTAAAATGCGCAAACATACGTGTACATGCAAACGAGTTCAAGCAAATAGGCACCACGCATCATGCTTCACTCAAACATGCAAGCGAGCTGAAGTAAACAGGTATCACACAACGCGCCTCAATTATGCATGCAAACGATTTCAATTGAACAGGCATTGCACATCATGCGTCAGGCATCACTTACAATGTAAACGATTTTAAGCAAGCACACATCACGCATAAGGGTGCATATCACGTTCGAATCATCGGCCATGATGAGCCCTGTATGTTAAGATTTAGTCGCCGACTTTTTATAAGAATAGATTGACGTATCTTTCCTGTCTGGTTGGTACTGTGCTCTGTAGATGACTTTGGCAAAACACACTCAGGCTGAAATCGAGGAAAGTATGGACCCTATGCCCCTTATAGAGCTCAAAGTCATCTGTAGAGCACGGGACCACCCAGACAGGAAATAAGTGAATCTATTATCATAGAAAGTCGGCGACCAAATCTCAACATGCGGGAATCATTTTGGCCGATTATGCGAACGTGAAATGTGCCCTTTATGTGTGATGTGTGCTAGCTTAAAATCGTTACATCTGTAAGTGATGCCCTGACGCGTAATGTGCGATGCCCCTGTTCAATTTGAACATTGTTTTGCATGCATAAACTGAGTCCGGATTGTGTGATGCCTGCTTACTTCAGCTGGCTTGCATGTTTGAGTGAAGTGTGATGCGTGAGGCCTGGTTGCTTGAATTCGTTTGCAAGTACACGTCCGTTAACGCATTCTAATTCTTAGACTCGGAACTGTATCGGTGATGATGTGAACTGTATCGGAACTGTATCGTGGTAATGGCTGGCAATCACTCTTCGTTTAATCCCTGAACGTTGGTGTCTTGTAAAAACTGTGGCTTGCTGTTTCGAAAAAAGCTGAAAATAGAGTAGGATAATCGGCAGGCAATTTAGAATTCACTTCTGCTGTTTTTTTTCGATAATAAGCTATGTTGCTGTAATATCAACTCAACTATATTTCCATTCTCCTGGCCTTTTCTGAAGAATACGGCTAATACTGCTGTCCTATGCATGTGAATAATGTTCGTTGCTAATGCACTGAAAAACTTGCATAATATTTACTTGCGTTTACATGTTGGGTTATTGCGTTGTTAAGCTATTCGATTATAAGGCTAATTTTCTTTATAACTGAAAAAAACCACTGTCCAACTTCCTGTGTTATATAGCACGAAACGTGGATTCATCGAGCTAACCTAGTAGAATGTGGTATGCCAAAATGTGCTGTGCTCCATGTGCTAACGCTTCTCTAGTACGTCACGCTGCCAGATGAGTCCGTTGGTGCCAGGAATCGTGCTGACCGTGCGCCAGACACGCACATTGCGCTGATCATATTTATCTTGGCCTTGAGTACCACATGGCAATGGGATGGCAATATTTGCGCGGCGCTTATGTTGTCATGCATGCTTGGATGACGTCCGAATATTCTGCACCAGAGTCTGCACATTTCTCCGCGCGTCCAGCTCCGATCCACAGGACTATGAGTAATCCTTAATATGGCTCTCTCGGCTAAAAGCCCCATGCAAATATGAAACACTCCCAGGTACTTCTTTCAGAATTATGCAGAACTGCCTTGAGTTTTTGCATCTGGATACACGTTAAAGATAACGCTAGGGTGTATAGTCCAAAATAATCAGAGTGTTGACCGTAGGTCATTTCGGGTCAACAACCTGTTCTGACATTAAATAAGTCCATGGAAGATGTATTATGTGGTTCCTGTTATCAATAAATTCGGAATGAGCACCCCAGAAACTATTCCATACAGCAAGCTTTAAGGTAATCAACACATATTTATTTTGACCTTGGAATGAACTTTCATACCTGACTCTAGATGAATGCATTTATGCACTCCATTGTTGTTGTGGCCTAAAAACTATTTCACAGATGCATGGTTTCCGTCTAGCACTTTGCGGCATCAGATGACCGATTCCCTCGAAATTATCTTCACTAAATTCATGGCCTGACTTTGACCTGCCGTAGTTCAGTAACCCTGGCAAGGGTCTATCACATTTTAGATATCAAAAGGTCCGCTATGCATCTGTCTATAGCTATGCAAAGTTTTGGTTGTGGTTACGCCGCGTCGTTCTGAAACCATTTTAGAAAAATCTATGGGGGGAGTAAATTTTACTCTTACCCGAATACGTGTTGACAGTTATATCAACAGAAAAATAAAGGTTCTACCTCCAGTTCCACCATCAGGTTCCAGCAACAGGAAATGGTGCTAATAAATGCTAATCCGTTCCCATCACCCATAGAAAAATCGCACCATTGAAATATACGCAAGGACTGGTTTCGAAAACGTGCGAATTGATTTTTTAAGGCGTTTAGATATGTTTTTTCTAAATGTGTCAACACCTTCGCTCGCTCGTTGGCCGCCAACTAATGTTAACTGAGAGGTCGACGCCGCCACGATATAAGGAAGCTACAACACCAGGCGTCGGGCTTTTGCTTCTAATGCCTACAAGTATGCATGTTCAAAACAATGTTAAGCAATTTTTCACCGATCGATTCTCACTGAAGGCTGAATATTCGAACCCAAACGTGGGCTGGCTATATCAATGCAACTTGTTTACTTTATTGCGATCTCCAATCTATGCCCACGAGGTCCCTCAATATCTCTTAGCGTAATCGGTTTGGAAATAGTCCACTGAGCCATGATACAATGGAAGCGCCAGTAGTTTATTCCATGTCGTCATTAAAAGCCAACTTTCTTTAGTTTATTGACTCCAACAATATATACGAATAATCAGAATCAACACAAAGATATCTGCATCTTCCTGTAGCTTCTGACTTCTTTCCCATTTAGCAAAGGAAAATATGACTAACACGAAAGATAATCATGCTCGCTCGTGGTCAAGCGTGTCATATCCGATGACTTTTGTGGAGAAGGGGCTTTTCAGTTTTGCTTTTTCCCTTTCAGGGGTCCTTGTTCAGCCCTGTGCCTCATTACCAAGGCTCTCGCTGAGCCCCTGAGAAAAGGCAGGGTGAGCGAGCAATCCGCACAACCCTTATGTTTCCGTATCTCCAGGGTAAAACGCGCAGATATGCATCACTTTTTACTTCTTGCAAATAAAAACCTGACGCGTTGGTCAAAGAAAAGA